TGAAACAAGCAGAAAGGAAGAAATTGCTGTGCGACGATTTGAATGATTGGCTAAGTCGTCAGGGCAAAAAGGTATAATTTGTTGAATTACTGACCAATGTCCCATACCCATAAGCAGTAATAATAACGAAAAAAAAAAGTCCATCTATTTTGTATCCAAAACGCAAAAACAGCAAATCATCAGACCGTATCACTGCTATTTGTTATGTTTTGCAGCCCCTGTATGGTTTCATGGAGGATAACAGATGGAAGAAAGTCGGTGATGTATACGTTCCCGTAGATGATATCATTGATCTCACGTCCTGTGAGCCATCTGTGGAAATTGAAACACTGCCTGTGAAGTATGTGAATTTTTATGCAAACCTTGATTTGTCGGCTGTGGCAATGGTGTACCTGGAAGAGGTAAGCACCACCATTTTTATGGGACAAAATCACCTTTGAGGAGAATTAGAGAGGAGGGAGGAACGGCAGAATCACCTGTGAGGAAAGTTAGAATTAGCGGTTACATTATAAAGCTGAAGATGCGCAAGAGCCAGGTGGGCGGGGGGAGGTGGGAGGAAAGGGGGAGAAAAAGACCGGGAAGTACGAGCAATAGAAACAGTTGACTAGTAAGTGTTAGATTACCAAAAAAGACAGAATTCTGAGTTCAGATTTGTCGTTTTGAAGTAGGAGTTAAAGAGGAGGTACTGTTTTAACCACTGGATTCTCTTTTAGCAGGAAGGAGCAGTTTTAGTCTAAGACGGCTAATTTTGTCAAGAAATGTCGCAACATTTTGGTTAAAAAGTGCCAAGTTGAGGTGTTTTCTTCTGTCAGAAAGTGCGTGCGCCTCTGATGTATTCTCAATTTTCATCGATCCAGAATCCAAGTGCTAAATCTTACAACTTTAAAAAAGCGTATGCCTCATATGTCAAAAAAGAGCTGATGGTGTAGAAGTTGGATTCGTGCAGCTTGGGGCTGAAGACATAGCTGAAGTTTGAGGGCAGTCCGATAGCATAACTAACTTTGGGTCCCACACCGATTGCCCAGTTAGCCGTGATGGTTGTGGTATTCATCGATTTTTTGAATCAAATTATTGGCACGAAATAGAAATTTCCCACGGTGTTGTCTAATAGTAGGCTGTAAAACGGTTCTGTCCTTGACCTTGAGCAGAGTACCGTTGGCTGAAATTCATCCAATAACAGGTCTGATTCCTGGGTGATATTTCACGAGAATTCGCTAGAAAGGTACACGCCGCGTAGTGCGTTTTTCCTCGGCAACCCCGGAAGTGAAGAGAATGACTGACTGTAATAGTATTATTTTATAGGATTTCAGAGGAGCAAATTCGTCCGTCAAAGTGAAATGCGGGTAAAAGAACTCCTGGTTCCGGGAACGAACTTTCCCGATAATGGAGACAGAACTGAAGAAGTTGGTTGTGAAGCGCCTTGAAATTAAATATTGACCGGAATGAGGTGAACCGTAATACTCAACGAAGGCCCATTATTTGTGCTGCTTTTTTTAAAGGTGCTGATTATATGTCACGTCATATGTTTCTCGTTATATTGTTTCTCGTTCCTAAATATTTTATGTTTTTGTGGCCAAGTATGTCGCAGATTTTTACCAGAATATGGACTGAGGAGTCTTAGATTTATCGTTGTCCACAAAAAACCCCGTGTGGCAGATTAGGAGCGCCTCTGTGCCCGAAATACCAGAAAAATCTTTCCCGAGGAATTTTCGCGGCCAAGGAATTCTTTGTCCCAAATTTTACTCAAATATGAACTGAAAATTCTTGGCTTCAATGCGATCCACAAAAAACCCCGTGCGGCGGATTAGGGATGCCTCTATACCTATGGAATGCCAGAAACGCATCTGTTAATTCATGGTCTGATTCTCCAGCTATGCAGCTAGCAACTTCTCCAGTTACTGTGACCAATGATGCATCACGTGAAGGTCAAAATGACCATCAACCTATGGACATTTCTGGTCCATTTATTACCTGTACAAATATTGCTGTATAAATGAATAAAAAACCATGATTTCTTCTCTCAACACACGTATCAATCGGCGGCAGCCAGCTTCAAAAACGGAGCACTGGAAGCATGGCATAGCTGTACTTAAATATAGCGAAGTGGGGCACTGTACTGATGATTCCCACCGCATTTCACACCAATTTAGTCGTATGTGTTTACAGTTCAGGGATGAAACAGAGACATCACCCAATGCAAGTGCCAGTTAGCTTAAATGAGATTATAAAATTTGACTTCTTTTCCGAATATTAAATGAACATATTCCACTATTCTACTCTTTTCTCTTCCAACCCCCATTCCATTTCATTTATTATGTCGCTGCACTTTGTCAGCAGTAATGCTACTCTTTCCGACACTTGGAATGTGATCTTTCAGTGAAAGACCCGCATGATGGTACTTCCTTTTCGTCACTACTAATTATCCTGG